AAGTAATTTGTGTTGACAATTAGAAAATGTTACATGGAAAAAAAGATTAAGAACATAATTGAAATGTAAGTAATTAATCTTCTGAAAATAATGATGTGTCCAAACTCAGAGCAAAATGTGTAAATTCTTAAAGGGTGGACAACAAGGTATTGTGCTCATTTTGCTCCTTAAAGCTATTTCTCTATGTTGCATATTTCAGAGTTTAGTTTAATTTATGGTGACACTGCATCTACAGAGAAAAATCAACTGTACAGTAATGTTTACCCGGTTGTTAATTTTGGCCCTGCCTTGCCTTCATCTGGCTGTGCTCCAATGACGGAGCAGGAGAAGTGAGGAGGAAGTGAGCTCTATATTTAGACAAGGTTTACAGAAAGCTAGTGTAGTTTCCACACATATAATTGTACCTTTCTTGTTTCCATATTCACCTAGATAACAGCTGTTATTTCTTTTCAGACCGTTTTGATCACCATTGTCCATGGGTGGGTAACTGTGTGGGCAAGAGGAACTACAGATATTTCTACCTGTTCACGCTCACCCTGTCCCTGCTCACCATCTACATCTTCGCTTTCGACATCGTCCACGTCGTCATGCGTAAGTATGGCCTTATTGGTGAGACAGGGCTGCAGGAATGTGACAAACCTGGAAGGACAGCCTGTGACACGAGTTTAGCAGCAGCTTCTAGTTCTGCATGTTTATGCATGACTCTGAGCTTGAGGCGGAGCAGTCAGAAGCAGCAGATGATTGTATCACTCTTGTTTTACTGAAAGACAGTAGGAATGAAGAGAGATAGCAAGGTTTTCCTCTAAGGGGGAATATTTTAACATCCTGCAGTCATTACCTGCACCTTTTAGTACAATGAACTCACAGTTTTTCCTTTCTGTGTTTTTGTGTTAAGGCTCTGTGGATCAAGGCTTTTTGAACACCTTGAAGGAAACACCAGGAACATATCCTTTTAGGTCTGAATACATTTTGAATGTGTGTGCCGTATGTTTCAAGGACAGCAGGAGCCATAAAGATGAAACCTCACATAATTGCTGCTGCTGACACCCCTGGCTTCTTGATGCGTTTTATTTTATTCCATCATTGAAAAGCAACAGTCTTAAACTGATTAAATTACTGCTTAGTTTTCTTGTTATTCCATTACTACCTTCTCAGTTTCCTCCTTTCTCTGAAGGAGGCGGAAGTTTAACCTGAATCAAATAATTAGAGATACTGTAGACCAATGCATCAGCCGGCAAATATTAGGTTTTTTTTTTTTTTTATCGTATTGGCTGATATTTGTACGTCTTGGCCAATTTCAATGAATGAAAAGAAATTCCCCAAAAGTAGATTTTAGTTTATTTAATTGCTTGTGTTTTAGGGCTGAAACTATTTATCAGATTAAACTTGATTAATCGATTATTGAAATAATCATCAACTAATTTCATAATTGGTTAATCGTTAAATGGAGTATAGAGGCTGTAAATTATGCCTTTAGCTGACAGAGAAACCCACTTAGAGCAGTAATTATATCGAAATTGTAAAAAAAAAAAATATATATATATATATATATATATAAACATTTTGTATTTAAGAGGATAAAAAATATTTCCATCCGTCACTATGCTCTATCCAGAACTATTTTAGTGGAAAAACTTTAGTTTCACCTGACTTATTCGTAAAATAATAGATTAATTGATTTGCAAAATAATCATAAGATGTTAAAACAGGGTTAGAAATTGAGGGGGAGCAAAATGTTTCTTGTAAACAAAAGAAGGGCTCCCAGTGAGAAAAACTGCATCCTGCCTTGAGATCACACAAAGCATTTGCACTGCTGCTCCCTCCATTTGCTATCCATTGCTAATGCTTCGTTTAATTTGTTACTCTCTGTTTTTTTTTTCTTAAATGGAGATTTGTGTAACAATTGTTATCATATCATTTTTATCCTGTAAATGTAGGAAGAAAAAGCATTATCTGCTCTAAAAAGTGAACTAAACATATCAGCAGCACATATTAGAGATCAGTTAGTTAGATGGCAAAATAATCTGTGTCAGCCTTAAAAAAACAAAACAAAAAAAACTATTGGTCTATCACTAGTGCTCCACTCTTTTGTCTTTGGTCTACACGATTACTTTTGGGTAACCAAATTGTAGTGCTTGTCTCCACACTTGTATGCGTTAGAATATTATTGGAAAGACCTTCAATGTCAATAAGTCAATTACAAATGGGTAAATTCTATTGAAATGCATAGATCCATCAGACACAGAGTAAAATGTCAGGTGTAATTTTTTGTTAGATAACTTACTAGTCTACATAATTTTACAGAGCTCAGCAGGCAATCGTAGTACAATATAGTACAATCGTACTATTATTCTTACTGTGGTTCAGTTGTGTGTGTGTATGTGTGTATATATATATATATATATATATATATATATATATATATATATATAATTTTTTTTTTATTCTCGAATGTTGATGCTTAAATCAGAGCCTGATTCTTATATTACAGCTCTACGACCAGTTTGGCTCTGATCTAGACAGCACAGAAACCCTCTATGGAAACGCATGAGTTTGTTTGTTGGCTCTGTGTCCTGTTCTCTAAGTGACGGTTTCCTGTTTTTGTCGTCTTTCTTCTGAACGAATGCATCACTGGGTTGCTGCTGTGTGTTTGGTGAAAGAAATAAAGTGCTGCGAGGAAATAATCAATTACAATTGTTTAATGATTTTGATGCTTGTGCCCTTTACGAGTTTACCCAAGAGAACAATTCTTCACTTTTGTTTTTCTACTCGCGTTTCTCATCTTAAGGCACAGTATAAAACATTCTGCTCTTCAAACATCACCTCCTGTTCACTGTTTAATCAGTTTTCATGAGTCAGACATGCTGTGGTTTTTCTTAACTGGAGCTTACTGTACTGGAGGTGCTGGTGTGCTTCTTCACTCTGTGGTCGATGGTGGGACTGACCGGCTTCCACACGTACCTGATCTCTCTTAACCAGACCACCAACGAGGATGTAAGTTCACCTTCCTTTGTTTAGTTTTTTTATTTTTTATTTAGTCCTATTATGTAGCAAAAAATACATTATCAATAAAATCTTCATAAAAGAAACATTAGAAAATATAGAAAACTCTATCTGCATGGTGATGCTTTTAAGGTGCATCATTGTCTTGCAGATAGAGGATTCTGGGTTTGACTTTGCCTTTTCTCCCTTATATCTATGCATACACATGACTGTTAGCTATTAGCTACTCTAAATTACCCCGAGGTACATGTGTGCTTGCCTCTTACTGGTGCTCTGTCTAGGGGGCACTCTTCCTCTTGCTTCTTGAAAGAAAAGCAGATAGATGAACAAACAAACCCTCATAAAAGTTGACAATATCAGTCAGGTACATTATGCATAGGAAATTATGCATACATGTAAAACATGACTGCGAAGTTTAGGAAAGATTAGTAGTTTCTAAAAATGGTCTGTAGTTTGATCTCTTGTAAATATTGTGTTATTCTGTAACTGCTTTGTTCCGTAACAGATACTGAGCACCCAGTAATCAGGGATGAAACGAACTAAGAAACTTAAACAATCCAAACAGTATAGTGTGGATAAAGGTAAAATATTGTTCCAGATTTTTATCTAAGAGCAGATTTTTCTTCTGGAAGTTTTAAGGAACAGAGGAGGTTAAAATGTATTTCTGCCTGATTTTTTTTATTTATTTCCTATTCAGTCTAAAAGTAGCCCATGTCTGACTGCAACCTGTAAAACAGGTTTACATTTCCGTTGATGGCGCACAGATCATGCAGAAATAATAATAATAATATATCACAGTTTGTAAAAAAAATGAGGGACTTTGTGTTCCTGTGTTATGTCTACAGAGCATCCTTGTTTAGAGAAAAGCTCTGTCAGATACACAGTGACACAGATATAAATACTACTTTTAAGTTGATAAAGAGTTTTGAATTTGCTATTGTGGAAAACTCTCTTTTTTTTTTTTTTTTTTTTTTCTTTTTTAAGAGGTCTTTACGGCACTAGTGGCTCGTTTTTTTAAATTTTTTTTTATATAGTGGGCTGACAGGAAAGGGGGCATGAGATGGGGGGGAGAGACATGCTGCAAAGGACCACAGGTTGGATTTAAAGCCAGATGGGCCTAATCAAGTTCTCAGTCCTCCATACATGCGCACTAACCACTGTGCCACAGAAAGAATTAATCAGACTTAGAATTTTTCTAAGGGGTTGGAAATTATATATATATATATATATATATATAAAAAAACAACTTGCTTTTTTTACCTCCTTCGCTTTTGCGAATCATCGGCTGTTAGGACAGGAAAGCTGTGGTGATTCTAAAAAATATGGTTGTGTGACTTTGTGCAAAAACAGTAGATTTGTCGATCAACTTTGCACATGCTATCAAGGTTATGTTTGTTTTTATGCATGCAAACCTCACAAGGTTCCGGCCCTTAGTGTGCAGGGACAAAGCAGAGCACTGGACTAGATAGTTTTTTAATACAACCCGACACTTCTGATCGGAACAGAATGACATTAGAATGACCATGAAGAATGATGAGCATTATAGACCATCAATGCCTTTTCTATTTGGAAACTAAGATTTTCTTTCTAGTGAGGATCAATGTATAAAAGCCACCTTTCAGCCAGGCCGGGCATAGAAACCCGTTGGGTTTACCCAATGACTAGTCCACTAGTCACACGGCTGCAGTTTCTTCTGCATCCTTTAAAACTGTAGGAACAAATTTTGAAATGGTAACCTGTTAAACCAGTTAACATGAAATGTAAACGGCACAAGAGCATCCTCAAATTCTACATGTAATATTTTATAGAACTAACGTTTAGTGTTTGTGAATATCCAAAATAGTGAATCTAATTATGTTTGCCAGCATTTCCAATGATCTGAAATCCGGCCTCGACACGGCCGGTAGGACAAGCAGACACCATCAAGGTGTGAACGCTGCAACATCTAAGAGCAGATGGCAGCTACTGGGACAACTGCAGCACCTTGTTCACCCCTGAAGGACAGACATGCTTGTAATCTGTAGTCTGAACAACAAGGCCACTGTGTTGTAAACCAAAGTCGACCCTGTTGTAAAAAAAACTTGAATAAATAAAAAGGAAAACTGCTGTTGGTTCGATGTTATCTAATCATCTAAAACGACTTATAAATAGTTTCTATTCTTAGGAAAGGCGTCAGCACATCTTGGGGTAAAAAAGACTCATCTGTTTCTCTCTCTAAACCTCTCAGCCACATTTAGATGAAGGCCCAAAAATAGAACAATGGATCATTTGAATCATGATCGGTCATTAATAACACAGAAAAATGGAATAGACTTTCTTTCAGGAAGTTACAAAGCAGATGATTAGGGCTAGGGGTGGATTAGATATGCTGTTTCTGTGAATGTCCTGGGTGTGTTAACTTTGATGTTGGTGTTTTAAAACCTGACATCTGAATGCAGAGGCTCTGAGGAGAAGCAGGAGTGGTTTGAGCTTCCAGGATGCAGAAAGTCGAAGAGTGCTCTTTGCTGTAATGATTAATTTATGGTCCCCTTACTTCTTTCCAGTTAGATGACTGGCCTCATTTTTTTTGTTCATTTAATCTGTGATGAAGCTTTGCAATGTGCACCTAGTGTGGGATTATTTGATTTGTTTCTTGCAGGAGATAGGGCGTTGGCTGTCAGCCTGCTCATTTCAATGTTTGTGATCGACCCAATAATAGATGCATCGATATCTGCAGGGGCTGGGAGAAGAAGAAGCCAGAGATACTGCTTGAGCAGAGAGGATCGGATGGGGGGGGGTGATGGAAGGCACCTTGAGTGGTACAGCTTCTCTGGTTTCCCACAGATGACACACACAGTGTCAGCCCTACAGAGGCATGCAGAGCTGAGGCAGCCTGATGACCTACATATCTATACCACCCGAAGCATCTTCCACTCTACTGTGTCTTACAGGAGGGGTCAGCTAGTTCAAACTGTGCTGCAGTTAGCATGTCACAGACTACAGATGCACAATCTACTGTACTTCTTTATGTCCCTGATCTTAAAGCAGTCTTATCCAACCTGTACAGCGCCTGAAAATAAACAACCAGAGTAATGGATAACCTACATAAATTTAGAGGTAGTCTTCAACTTTAACCTAGCTTTTCAATTAATTTTTAACCTTTAGTTGACATGTAAAATATATTAAATGGTGGAAAACTGACGCTAAACATCTCCCTTTACACACCATTCAATAGTGAAGCATGGTGGTGGCAACACCCTGCTAGGGTAATGTGTTACCTCTGCATAGGGGGCTGGCTTGAATTGACTTGAAGATGGATTGAGCTGATTAAAGGAAAAAATGGTAAAGGTTGCAGTATTGTTATACAAAACACAATATGACTTCAGTTAATTAATATGAACCGTTTGTCCCTAATTTTATATCGCAGCCATAGAGCCTGAATAACACTAGGTATTTCTTCTGACGTTAACTTAGAGGTATTTCTGTCATTTTATCAACCGCTTTCTCACCCAAAGGACAAAACTGGAGTTATTGCGTCTCATAAAGCTTGCAGATTTTTTCTACATTTCTGTGCTCTCCTCTTTTTGTCTAAGTCCTCTGAACTGAGTTAAAGCAGGAGTCATTTAATCCTGAAAGATTTTAGTAGGTCAAACCCAGCTGATGAGAACAACATCTAAAAATGGAAATATGCTGTTAAATAAGGTATAAGCACCCCGAGGGGATAAGGGAGTGAACTGGTTAACTTAGTTGTGCGGGTTTGAAGTGTTTGCTGCTGCTGCACTGAGTGATGTGATGTATTTATTTTGTTGGTGCTGTTTTGCTTTTTTCAGATTAAAGGCTCTTGGTCCGGAAAGAACAGAGGCCAGAATCCTTACAGCCACAAGAACATAATCAAAAACTGCTGTGAGGTTCTGTGTGGGCCAACTTACCCAAGGTAATTATCTTTACTCTCTTTTTCCCCCTCTGTTTTTATATGTAAAGCATTTTTCTGTTTACTCCATTAATTTCATGTTCAAGGCAATAATGAGCAACACATTCAGTGGGTGACCTGTTTTCTGCCCTTACCCTCCAGCGTCTTGGACAGACGAGGGCTGATGCAGGAAGATTCGCCCACTTTGGTGACCAGTGAAGGCCCTTGCTCCTTTGACAACCCAGTGGCGCAAACTACGGTGAGCCCATTAATTCACACTACAGCCTACGCTTTCACACAGACTCCTGCAGGAGTGAACTCCTCTACAGAAAATGACTCAGCTGCTGTTTTATGCTACATTGAGGAACTGATTTGGTTTCTTTAAATCCAAATTAGACATGCTTAAAAAGGTTAAAATCATGTTTGCATTTGTTAACTTTAACTGCAAGCTAATGCTGGTATTTCTAATAATAAATTTTATACTTTTGTATTTTCCTGCATGCAGTAATAAATCACATCATTTCCTTAGACAGTATCATTCTCTAAGAGCATTTGTTGATTCTTAAAACAAACTAATTAGGATCAAAAAGAATTTCTTATCTTAGGATTTTGCCCACCCTTTGTCTATCTTTTTTTAACGGTGTTGGAGCAGCTGTTTCATCCACCTATAGGTTTTTGTTTCGCAGACAAATCTTTGTTTTATATTTGAAGTTTGTTTAAGAAATGGTGTCTAGTGAATAGTAGTGAATCTATATTTTTATTTTATTGAAATCCTGTTTCTTCTAAAACTTATAAAAATGACTTTGCATTCTATAACCACTCCTATGTACAGTATTCCTACCCCTTCAACTTTTTTTCCCTCAAATTTTTCATACTAAAACAATAACCTGGACTAGGATTTCATCAGGATTCTATCTGTCAGACCAACACTAAGCAGCCCAAAAAGGGTGAAGAAAATGATATGTGGATTTAAAACGGTTTGACAAATACAAATCTTTGACATGCATGTCTATTCAGCAAAATTAGTAAAGTAAACCTGCCAAGATTTGGTGGTTTCCCTAAACTTTAGCCCATCTTCTGTCATAGGAGATCCTGTTTCCTGTTTGCCAAAAGGCTTATATGGAAAGAAGTTGAGATAAAACTCTAATTTCTAAACCTTCATCTAGGATTATATGTGGGATATCCTAGCACTGTAAATCATTCAGAGTAGAACACGGTGGTGGCAGCATATTGCTGTGGGGATGCTTTCAGCAGCACAGGTAATCTGCTTTGACTAAAATACTTCAGAGATTTAAAAAAACTTGATATTGGGGCAAAGATTCACCTTCCAGCAGGAAACATTTCTTAAGATGCAGCCAGGGCTACAAATTAAAGTTTGATATCCAAACATATTCCTTTGTTAGAAGAGCCATGTCCACACCCTGTGATGTAAAACTGATATGATGCTCTACTGTACCTCTGATGTGACTGAGCTCGACCTTTTTTGCAAAGAAGAAAGAGCAAAATTTGAGTGTGTAGATATGCAAAGCTGGTAGACTCATCCTCCTCCAATCACCTGCAGCTCTAAATGCATTTTAAATGTTTTTTCCCCCGCAAACTATCACAAGAAACTGTTCAGGTTTTTAACAAAAAAAATAATTCCCTTTCTTTTCACCTCACTATTGCAATATTTTGCCTTTGACATAAAATCAAGATAAAAAAATAAAGAACAGGCTTGACTATTTCTGCAGGAATATATAATGTTAATCATACTTTTATATAATGTTAAACATAAAATTTGTTCATTTGTGCTAATTTCTTTAAAAGCTCACAATATCTCCTTTCCCCGCATCTTTCCCACAGAAAACCACGGCTCCACTTATCCCCAACGAGCACACACCTGAAGATGTTAAACCAAGCATTGCAGCCTCGGCAGAAAAGAGCCCCTCCCCTAAAGAAGACCACTCCCCAGCTCCAAAGCTACCACCTCTGGCTTCCCCCGAGACCGATGTAGAAACATCCATCGTCAAAAACCATTAGCTGGATGAAGCAGGCAGCCTCGGCCACAGCTGCTCTTTCAGCATTCTGTTGACTCATAAACTGAAAAAAACACTAATAATCAACATCTTTGACGGTGTCTTGATTCTCCTCCCAACGTCCCTCAAAGGAGTGGAGCTCTGGCTGCAGTTCAAGCTCCTCCCTACTCTTCCCGGCAGTTGATCCAGAGAAGTGTGATTTACGTTTAACTCCTAGAGGAGGAGGAGTGAATAGATCAGAAAATCAGCAGCTTCCCATCTCCTGAACACTGCATGGAAAAGACATAAAGGAGAGATGCTGCCTGGAGACCATGCGCTAATTGTCAGTCTTATTTGTTCATCATTTGAAATTGTAAAATGAAATTTATGGCCAGAGGCCAGTTAAAATATACTCCTTGCAAGCATCAGAGATGAAGGATCCTGAACATCTGGTAAATCAGTAGTCATCTTTGCTGTACATAAGTTAAATACCCTATGCAAATCATATGAGGCTGGACAAGCAGCTTAGTGAAAAATGGGCATAAGCAGTCGTGTGAATACATGTGATGTCCAGGCAGGAGGAGGATGTGCAAATCCTAACTGATCAGACCTTGTCTTCTGATATTGCTGCATTTAGTACTGTTCTCTCATATTTGCATTTGTGCATCTTTTGTGTGATCAATATCAACTCCTGTGTTTCCATTTTATTTCATGCAGCTAAGGCTGTGTTGTGATATTATGGCTTCTAGAAAGGTGACGTTGAGCCTCTGAGTTAAGGAGAAAGAAAAGGCCCATAGAGTGTAGACACTCGCATTAACAGTGCCTTATCAATGCAGCTCAACCCAAGTTGGATAACAGGGAAAATCCTCCCACAGTGTTAAATAAAAACTAAGATCTAAAATTAAATTTTACTGTTTGGAAGAACAAATGGCAACAACTAGCAATTTGCTGAAAGTTTTTCAATGGATTGAAGCTACTTTTTAGGAACTTTTTAGAAAAGGCAAGTTTCTGAGCTTAGCTATTCTTCGCCCATTTCCGCCGTCTTTACCTTAGTGTAAAATACGTTTTTGCTTAAGAAAACTGCTATAAGACAATGAAAATAATTTATATTTCTCCACATTAGTAATGTTTGGTTTGTTTTTGTTTTTTTCTTGGATTTTTGTTTTTTGAAAGACTATTTTATCATAAACCTAATGTTTTCTGTTAAATTTAAGCTAAACTAATTTATTCCTAAAGCTAGATCTGGTCAGGCTAGAGGCATTGATATCATAATTTAACTGTGAGAACAACAACAGTTAATTAAGAGGTACAATAAAAAAAAATACAATCTGTTTTAAAAATAAAATTGACAAATATGTTTTGATTTATACGCTTCAAAAACAATATTTTCTAGAGAAGAATTGTTTCCAGCGGTATTGTCAGAGAACTAAGATGAACTGAAGTAATGATTAGATATTTGAGATACTATAAGAATAAAAAGAAAAAATTTTATGCTTGTTATGCACATTTAAATTAAGTTGGGAGAACCAGTGTCTTTAAAATGAGCCTAGCTCAGATCAGTTTAGCGTAGTATACTTTAGATGAAAGTAACTTCCTTCTAAAGAAAATTACCCAGAAACTACAAAAATATTTGTTTTTTGTAAAGTAAGAATATTTCATATTTTCAGGAAATGCAATGTGTAAAGTTCATTAATGTTCTTCACATTAATTTAAGCATTTTTTTCTTTTCCTGCTAAGCCAAGCTAAAGCTAAGACAACTGGCCATCTGTTAAATCAAACAGCATCAACTCTTTTGTCTTTATAAAAAAAAATATACATTTCATTTTAAAAAGCACTGAAATATCCTCTATAAATAAATTTAAGACTCATAATTGACTATTTTAAATTGGAAATAAGATGAACCTTGTGGGTCTAAGGTAGTTTTACTTTATAATTTTTTTAGGAACTCTATTTTGCTGCAAGTTGTCAGTAGATTAAAACCAATTAGTCTGATTAAAAGTTGAATAAACTAGTTTGTCCGTTTAGTTTAGCCTAGTTTAGCTTTTTGTGAAAATAAACCCCTGCTCAAGAAAACTGCTTAAACAACACAAACATTTTTTTTTTCTGTAAATGTTCAACAATTTGCCAGTGTTTGGTATTTTTCACATTTTAACAGTTTTCTAAGTTTAAGCTTAGCCATGTAGCTGCTTATATTTGGTCTCAATTTTACAACAAAAAAAAAATCAATCAAATAACTCCATTACAGAGAAAAAGCCTTAAGTTGAAAATATTGTCATCTAAATCTTTATCAAAATGAAACTGCAGCCATTTATTTATTTCAATAATCTTGGAAAGTTTTCCACCAGAAACGGATTCATTTTACGGATACAAGCTTCCATCGTTGATGTGCTCAAAAAGACATCAGCTAAGTAGATGTTGCTGCGTCACAAAGAAGTGGAAATGATTTAATTGTATAATATGCAATTAAGTAAATATTGTTATAGCAGGTAGAAGTGTGATGAAACGTGTTGAAGGATGGATAAAGAAGTGTATTTCGGGTTTATTTTTCAGCATCTTCTGTAAATTAAAGCAGAGGTGACCTTCCTTAGTGTTTTTCTGTTTCTCGCCACCCTCTGCTTCTAAACTTGACTCTTCCTCTTGTCTCTCTTGATCTTAGCTGTGACAGTTGCTCCAGCAGCGCGCCTACGCCTGCAGCACCTGACACAGCAGACAGCTTCCATGTTATCAGAGCGGAAAGATGAGCTCTATCTCCTGACATGTTAGTATTTAGAAGGTGTTAGCAAGAGTCTGTAGTAGTGACTGTGTTGTATGCAAGACAGAGTTTGTGTTTGTGTATCTTACTTGTGTAGACTAAAGTATTATAGCTGACAAATCTACCAACAAAGACTTAAGAGGAAAAACAGGGGTTTTAGTCGTGTGAAACATGAGACAAATTTAAGAAATGCTCTTGCCAAAATAATTAACGAAATATCAGGCTGAATGTAAGGGAAAATAAATTGCATTTTTTTATTGGTAACAAAAATGGCTTAAATGACAAAATGGATATTGGTCAATACAACTCTAATACAGTCTGTTGACCCACTAACACTGGCAAAAGTTTACATTTTAAAAGCAGCTTGCCAGTTTTGTGTAATGCCAAAATGTTGCCATGATGTGGTTGTATTGTTTCCAATAATTGCAAAGCTGCCAGTGAAAAAGTGCTACACTAAAAGCTAAACTCCTTTACTTTGTGCAAGGTATTTTAATACAGCTTGGTGTTGTCATTGAGAAGCAAGAATGTACGTAGTGGATTTAGAAGAAAAGGGATGTTTGTGTTTTAAACGGAGCGATTAACCTTTTTTTTTTCTTTTGCTGACTGTTTGAAGCCCAGACTCAGCTCTTGTATTTAAAAGTCCTGTGTTTAAGCAAAAATCAGACCTGAATGCTCTGATCAGTCAGCTACACTGCATTATATATACCGATACTTTGATGAAATGATTATTTATGTTCCCTCTGTTTGGTATCAACACTGTGATTCTGTGTGTTTCATTCAAATTGCTTCTCTTTTTACATGATTTGTGTGTTCATTAAATAAACAATGTTGTCTTACTATAACTTATTGAGGTTTTGTCCTTATAGTTGATGTTTTTTAAGCAGACTTTTTTCGTTGGTTGTGTTTCCTGCTCGGTACTTTCTTTGTGGAGCTTCATGTTCTTCATTAGCAGCAGTTTTCTGTGAAAAAGTTATCCAATTGTCTTCCAAACAGTCTGGAAACCGGCATGTTCAGTTAAATGGTTGACTGGTCCAGGATGCACCCTGCATTTTCCCTGTTCATGGCAAAGGTAAGCATTTTAATACTTTGATGGTACAAAGCACAGTACTGATAAAATGTATTAGTATTACCTCACCACTGCCACCTACTGTTACAAATTGCTCCTTTGGATCACAGCAATTTATTTCAGTTATTTAAAATTGCTTTTGGCAACTTGGGAAAAACGGCTATAGATTACGGTCTGCAGCAGTCAATACTTGATGTGTAGCTTTGGCCAAATTTAGGGGCATCATACTTTTAAGGTCTCAGAGTAGGGTAGTGGCGACCTAGTGGTTAGGGTATTGCGCTTGGCTCCCAGAGGTTCTGACTTCGAGCCCCGCAGACTGCCACTCTGGGTCCCTGAACAAGACCCTTAACCCCACGCTGCTCCCCGAGAGCTGCACAGTGGCAGCATGGGTTAAAGGGTCAGAGGTGAATTTCTTCAGTGTGAGATTAATACATTTCGATCAAGGGTGTAACTTTGTGATTAAAGTTGCTGGGGACACACTACGGGTGGCGGCTGATGGACCTACAGTTACTCCACACGAATGGAAAAATTTCCAAAAATGAGTTCAAACATATATTTATTGAATTCTTTCCTATTGTTGAGAAAACAAAAGAACCAAAATACATTGATATGTATAGGTAGTTAGACATTGAGATATATATATATATATATATATATATATATATATATATACCGGTGTGTGTATATATATATATACCGGTGTGTGTATATATATATATACCGGTGTGTATATATATTAAAAAAAGGATGAATAACAAGCGATTCTGATGCCAACAGCAATATATCATGCCTTCCTAATGTGGAAACAATTTCAGTTTCATTCATTGATCATCAATCCACCCAGAAAAATGTAGATTGATGGATGTTTTCCCTATTAGCTACATGAGTGGAGTGAATAATCTCCTTCAAAAGGAGCAAAATCAAATTTAGAAATGTGTCCCACACATTGTCATAGTCTACTAATTGAAATTATTGGTGGGGACATGTCCATACCAGTCCTTCAGAAATGTACGCCTGTGATTTCAGTTATCAATTAGCAGAAGGCTACATCAAAGAAAGGTGTCGAAGGATACAGATTAGAGATATCCTCCTAAAAACCCTGCAGAATATGGGAAACGAAAAACAGTCCTGAATGAGTCGATGCAATCAACTGGTTTTCCTTAAATAGAAAACAGTTTAACTGTACGATCCGATTGAATTTTCTCTGTAAAGTGTCTTGAGATGACATGTGTTGTGAATTGGCTCTACAAACTGAATTGAATTGACCAACAGTGTAGTGAATGAGGGACACAGCAACTAAAAGTAAGCCACCACTTACAGAATGAATCTCTTCTTCCTAAACACCAACAGAGGCCATCTAAATATCAGTCCTCCTGTGTTTAATTCAATCTGCTCCAAAAATATAGCTGTTTAGATGCTGAAAACACTGAAAATCTCCCGTTGATATCGAAACAGATCTCACACAACTTTATCACCACTCTACTAATTTAACTTTATTAAATGTATTTACAGTCACAGGAAAAAAAAACAAACAAAAATAGCAGTGATATTCACATTACATAAAAAAATGTAAAATAGTTTACATTCATGAAGGACCAAAGAGACACTAAAGCATGAGAACGTTAAGGACAGACAGGGTAGAACCCAGAGTAAAACCCTTGAACGCTTTAGTTATAACATTATAATACAGAACAACATGTCTCCAGTAAAATTACATGGTGTTTTTGAACGCAAGTTAATTCAGAGTAATGCTGCCACCTGTAGCAGCTAGTAACAGTGTGTGCTGCTGGACTGCTTATGTATGCAAGCTGCGAAATCATTGTTATACACATTCAGTATTTCAACCCTGTTTGTTCAGTATGTTTGCATTAAAGTGGCATTGTCTGCTCTCTTTTGATAAAGAGAGACTTTAAATGGCATCCACAGCCTCTCAGAAATGAGAAGAAAAAAGTTTGAGCATATTTTCCATCATCACAATCACTGTCCATCATCCACTGTCAGCTCCTGCAGCTGCTCCTGGACAGCTTCCAGTTCCTCTGCCTGGTCCTCCTGGGACTTTTCCTCTTGTTTCTCTGTTTCCTGGTTTGAATCGTGCTCCTCTGTCTTTGGCTCCTCACGGCCACCCTCCAGATTCTCTGAGCTCTCAAAGCAACCAGAGTCCCTCGGCTCCTTGGAGCTTTCAGCTGAGGCCTCCTCTAACTCTTCCTCTTCTGGTTCAGACTCATCTTCAGCTTCAAGAGGAAAAATCAGTCATTTTAGAGCAGAGAAAATTTCAAAGAAATCCATGCATATCTGGCTCAGCTTCAGAGAGATGGTATCATTCTTTTAAGTTCATATCCAGTACTTATAATGTTATACCTTATTTAATTCTCACCAGTTTGTTTCATATCAGGAGCTAATATTTATAATAAATATTACCTAAAGGAATTTAGTGTGAAATGGTCCATGATACAGATAGGATTAAGATGGTTTAGTAAATTGATTCAAAAATCCAGCTAATGTTGAAATTAAGGGTCACTTGTACAAGGAGGAAAACTGCTAATGGTTAAGTCTTCAACCTTTTTATTACCTTTTACTTGTAGGCTAAGGTATTTACCTATCAGCCTATTTTTTTTCCCTTTATGCTCTTTATCTTTTACTTTTTATTTAGAATCCCCAAATTTCAGTACTGTTTGCTATTTGATTACTAACCGCGACTGCTTACTTTTTAGGTCATAAATTAATTTGCATAAAACTAACATTTTCTTAGAATGTAGAAGCAATTCGTAAACCATTATTTTTAAGTAAGTTGACTTAAATTCTCTATTATTCTATTAGTTTCCAGGATCTCCTCCTGCCCACTTTTGTCTAGATTTGAAAAACTGAAAAATTTGAAAACAGGAAAAATACATTTTGCCAACATCCTATTAAAATACCTAAATATTGATGCAAACTAGCAAGAAAAGAAAATACATTTGAAAAAAATTCACAGAAAAAAAAGAGTTGCAGCATTTATATTTTATATAGTTGAAGTATAGTAGTTGAAAGCTGAAGCCAGTCTAAAAATAAGAGGCTGAAGGAAAATGTATTTAGGGAACTCTTTGCAACCATACATGCATTATACTTTAAATCTCCCCTAACCACTATTATAGAAGTCTGTTTGGGCCTTAAAGAGGGTGGAGCATAAAAACAGTTTGCCTATTTCAGTAACATTTAACCTTTCAACCCCGACATATTTGACCCAGAAATAGATTAACATAACATCTATTTGAAACCATTACCACTGATGAATATGTCTAAAACCAGCCTAGTCCTAGCGCTCCTAACAGTAGCTTAGTTAGCCTAGTTTGCCAGTAGCTTAGTTTGCCTTAGGATGGTCATTGCTTGAATGTTATTTTTAATCAACAACTGATTTTCTTTCTTTTTTTTAACCAAATCAGACTCAACTGGTTGAAATCACTGGAACTAAGCTGTGTGCATACATCAACTTACTTAGAAATGTAGTGTCTCTATATAATACTATTTTTACAACAACCTTTCTACTGTAATTTTATTTATTCATTTTGAATATAAACTAAAGAGTTAAAAAGAATCCGCATTCGGAACCAATGCTTTCAGATTTCACCCTATTTGAATTTCTCTTGATTTAAAAGAAACATTTCATGTTAATAAATAGCAGCTTAAGATCCTGATTAATTTGAAATGTAAAGTGTTTTGGTGTTTTTAAACCTACAGTCTCTGAGCAGGTCAGTTGCATTCAGGATCTTGGAGCGGTGGTCTGGGTTTGTGATGTTCAGCTCATTCAGATGAGACTCCTTCAGTCCAGTGAAGTCCTCCAGGCTCTGGAAGCCATGCATGGACAGCAATGAGCTCAGCTCCTGAAAAAGAAACGTGGAGTCTTTAGCAGTCTGTGTGGAAAGGATTCAGTGAGGTCAGTACCCAGTCCTCCTCCTTTTACCGTCAGGCCGATGCTCTCCAGGACTTCCTCCAAGGTTTTGGGCTTGGATTTGGACTGCTTGCCCTTGCTGTGGCATCGTTTCCTTCTGGTTGGGGGGGTCTCATCAGGAAGGAGGTTGACATAGATGAACTTGAAGGAACCCACTTTATTGTTGAGCTTTCCTGTCCAGGTTCCCACAGGCGGTTTGTCGATGATGTAGATAATGTCACCTTTCTGTAAAAAGCATTAAAAAGTTTTATTATCATGAAAGCTAAAAAACAATAACTAAAAACCTGTTTCTCATGTTTTTTATTTCTTCTAACCGACCAGAGTATAGTAAAGCATGCAGACAGCATTGGCTCTTGCAGTTTTCATTCTTGCTTTGCAGAATAATAATCAGATTTAGCCTTCTTGTTTTACAGAGCTAATAAGTTCCCAGGAGGATGAGGCAAGACAGCAGACCTAGCTGAAGGCCATATATCAAACAGTGAGGACCTTCTTGGAGACTCACTTGGAGTTTTAGCGACTCCACATCATAGGGGCTGGGAGTGAAGTCAGTGTGGACCACAGCGCGTCCACAGAATGGCCCGTTGTAAGAGCTGTCCTCCAGCCGCATGCTGTCCCGCTGGCTGTAACCACTGTCCAAGCTCTGCCTGTCGCTGCCTGAGGAGAACAGATGCAAAAGAAAGGTTAGATTCCCACGCAGAGTCCAGTTGAGACCAGATTTTATATGTAACCTGCGTGAAAAGACACACTTTATCCCTCTGTTTGACATTTAATCAGTTTAATGTTTCCTGTTTCAGATCAGTAAAGATTTCTAATGATTATTTCTGTTTACAAAAAGACACCGTTGTTCGGTTGTGGCTGATTGAAGCAATAGATAAACTTTAAGGAACTGATTTTGTTTTCAAGCTTTCCATTCCAGGTTCCCACAGGAGTCTTGAAGATGATGTAGATGTTAAAGTTCACAGACTTACTGGCAGAGAGCTGGCGGCTCACTGGGCTGGGAGTGGTGTCCTCTGACCCTGTGGAGCACACAGACGTCCTCTGTCCTGCACTCAGATCTGGAAGAAAGTCAGCTGAGACGGGGGACATCTCATCCCCACTCTCTGCCTGGATATATGAAATGAAAAAATAAATAAATAAATAAAACAAGGAATGGTTCCTCTTCCCTTAACTTGAATAATATCAATGTTTTATAAATGACCTGATGGACAAAATATATAAAACTAACCCTGTTTTTCTTATATGAATAAGTATTGTTTTGAAGAAAAACAAAAAGAAAAGCATCTTTATTTAGTTTACTAACTTATCCTGCTAATTCCTTTTTGGTAAAATTAGAATTTTGTTCAAATGTACTCATCAGTTTATTAGATTTTGTTTTAATGTTACATAGCATAATGGATAAGCAAGGTCAGATTATAATGTAGCCTAATTAATCATGTGTGGTTATATATATATATGTATGTGTGTATATATATAAGTATGTTTTTAATTAAGATATAATTAAGTAATAAATATAGTTAAAGTAAGATACAATTCATTTTTTTCTTGAATTTTTATTTTATCTGTGTATGAATACTTAACATTGTAAAGAAAACACTATGCATATAAATCTTAAAGATAGAGGCCTTAATAAACAGATGTTCTTCACTGGTGATATAATGATAGAAAAAATAACTTCTGACAATTTGATTGTGAAATCAAAGATTAAATTGTTGAGTTATTAATGTGTTAACCCTTTCTGTGCTTTAATTATCAGATGGAAGATGATATTAGGAAAAACATAACAATGCACAGACGATTTAATTAAAAGTGCAGTGCAAAGATTGTCCACAAGAGGGGACAAATAGCCTATAATTGCAAACTGCTGGTGTTTTTAAATATGGTGGTGCAGCAAATAAAGTCTGAAGGGTTGCTTTTTAAGGCTGTTGCTGTGTTTGCGTTGCTTTCAGTGTTATTTTTTTTGTGAGGTTGTGTGTGTGCCATGTTTACCCCCTCCTCAGCCAGGGCCTTCTGCACCATCTTGGATGTTTTGCGGGTCATTGTACGAGAAATGACATTGCGCCATTTTTTCCCCAGTTTGCTGCCACTTTTCACTGCTTCTTCACATTCCCCCTCCTGGAGTGAGATAAACAAAACCCATTATTTATATAAAGAAAACAAACCCGTTGTTTTCCAATGTGACAAAGAAATAGACAGTTAGTTACTCAAACAAATACTGGTTTAATTCTCACGATCTAAAAACCAGGCATGTTTGTGGTCATGAGGTTTCAATACCCACAGAGTCACAGAGCAACACCTGCAGCCTTTTGCCTCAAAGAAACTGATGTTATCAGGGGTTTTACTATGCAGTTAGTCAATGGCTTTGATAACACCCACAAAACATATGTAAAAGTCTGCAGCTGCAATCACACATGCACATAGAGGGAGAATGCAACAGGTAAGAAATGCAAGAATGTATTTGATCCCAGAGAGGGTCCTTTGATAAATAGGGCCCTTGGCTAGATGCTCTTTCTTCCCCTAATTTCATATATTTAGATGCAAGATTTTTACTAGAGATTTTTAAAAGTGACAAACTATTTAATAGATCTTTATTCAACAGTGATTTCATTTTCTAGTTCAGCTTTAAAATCTCTATTTGTTGTTCTCACAACAGCTCAGGAAGTCCTGATCTCAGTAATTGGTCTGCCAGGCTAAATTACCTCCCTCTCCTATCAAGGTAAAGCGATTTGATCCCTTCCTTCTGTCATTTGTGATGTTTTTCTGGACCTTTGTATTTAAATCATGGTGTATCAGTACATTTTCTCAAATTAGGTTTAATAATTAATCTTTTTTTTTTTTTTTTTAGAAATCTTGAGAATAAATTGTAAAATAATTGTCAATTTAACACATTATTGCTATTAACTGTACTTTTTAAAAAAAATTGTATTAGAGCGTATTTCAACTGATGACAAATTTGAAGAGCAGGCTTATTGTTTCACAAACAGAATAAAGATTTAAAAATGTCCTGTGGTTTTTATAGAATCTGTGTCTGGTTTAGTAAAATCAATATCAGATTCTTCCAGTCAACTTATATAAATGTTGATTAATGCAGTCCAAATGCCTTTAAACTGTGGAAATGCTCTTTAGCTTTTTGCCATGTTGGAATCGTCAATTTAGACACTTTCTTACAGTGTTTAAACTGTGAACATAGTATGGGCTCCCCCTCCTCTATTACCTTTACATTTAAACAAATAAAACAAAACCTCTTTATGGATCAGAACATTTTTAGAAATATTTATACAGGTTGTTTTTAATTCTCCTGTTTTCCATATTGTACTACCGGTAGTTCCTTTGCCATTTTAGATGTTCCCTAAACCAAAAAAGTCAATAATAAAACTGTCAGGCTCAAAAAAGAAATTAAAGTGAAAAAAATTAGGTATATGTCATATATCAGTTTTAATATCAGTATCATCCAATATTTGTCATTTTTAAGATAGTCAGGTAAGTGAACCTGGGCCTTTAATACTGGGGGAGGACCGAGGGTATTGGTCTTATTTGTTTTGTCATGTGACAGTGATTGTGATGTAGCCAAGGTTCGGGGCTGTACAGTATAAAACAGAAGCAAGGAAGCGTTACCAGCAGTTAGGCCACTTTTTCATGGTGTCCAAAAAATCCCAAAATATACCATATAGGATATCAGTAAATATCAGCTATTGGCCATTACAGTTATATTGATATTGGATCAAATTGGTGCAACACTGCCAAATGGGACGTTTCAGAAGATGAGATTTAGGGGAATATTACACTTTTTTAGGATTTGTATTATCACTCTTCTCCATAATTCATGGAAATACTTCAGTATAAACATCTTTAACAAATATGCAAACTTATAAATAGGTAAACAAATGGCTTGTTTCTGGGTACATGGTGAAAGTAGGTAAAGAGGAATTGGCAACATGTTGGTAGGAAATTAGGTGAAAATTGGAGAAAAATTAGCCATCATCTAATACCCCTTAAACGGTTGTGGCTCCAGGTGCTGAACCACATGGCTTTTATTAAAAATCCCCAATGTTTGTATGGCTAATACAGAAACATTTAGCTCTTAATCTTCAATTTATTTTAGACTTATTTTGAATGTTGTTTTTGACATCATTATTTTTAGTTCATTCTCAGTTCCCTCCTGTTTCTCCCTTTCTGTCCCTCTCATCTAGGTCCTTTTTAAGGTTTTGGAGGCACGTGTAGCCTTTGTTTACTGTGTTTCAGACAGGAAACGTGAAAAAAGACTAGGAAATCATGCAGGATAGGCCTTGAGTTTGAATATCAAACCCCAGATGACTTCATGGGGCGCTGATGACCACTGTAAACAGGAGGCCAGCTCTATCTTTACTCCATGAAATGCTGTTAGTCTCTTTGTAACTTTGAACCAAATACAACCTGTAGTGCCAATGATTAATTCTGTCATGCAGGAAGCACAGGAGCTAATCTTCATCATTTTTAAACTGAGTGGTTTTAAACGTGCTTGATTCTTCAGTTAAGAAAATTACATGTTTTCCTGCTGGGTGAAGATAAGCTCCTGCAGTGACAAAAAGAAAAGTGTGAATATTAAATTCTCACACAGATCTCATGCTTGAATAAATTCATAGGATTAAAATCTGATAACGCTGAGTCTTAAGTGCAGTTTAACCTCCAGGGAAAGGCCCATCAGACTCCTGGGTTAATGCTTTCTGCTTCTGCTCAGCCTGTCTGACGCAAAGGCTCTCTGCTTGACTAGCTGTCACCAGAGGACATCCTGTCTGCTCGCTGCTGTCATCTGCACCGTGCTGCTTCTCCTTCTTACTTCCTCTCTGTTTCTGTACTTCTGCACTCCGTCCTCTAACTCACTCGACGCTTCCGAGAAGTGATTAACCCATTCTCTGAGCTTTACATTCAATATAGAGCTCCTCTCTTTTAAAAAGGGAAGCTCAAACACGACATTTCGTTTAGTAACAGCCACAACTGTCAGTAAGGGGGCTCTCTCTGGGATGTGGTGTAAATTTCAAGGGCTTTGTGAAATAAAAACAAATGAGGAACATTATGAGAACATTACCTATGGGAACAATCATTCAGGAACTTGCATACAAAGATAAAAACATCTACTTCTACTTTTCCACTATTATGTTTTGTGCTGGTCTAACTCACGTGGTCGTCCAGGGTGAACTCCTTATCTTGCACATTGGGGGAGGTGGGCTTGTGTTTCATAAAATCCTTAAAGCTGCTGGACCTCTGCAAGGTGAGCTGCAAAACATTGAAAGGGGAATAAGGCAAAAGCACAAACTGCAACAATAAAAGACAAATTCGGGAGTTAAGTGACTGTTGGGGCTTGATGGTTGTTGGGTGGAATTTTAACGTTACACTGCTGGTGACACCGAAGTGTGCACACCATGTGCTCTATCTGATATGAAGGATGAGCAGAATTAATCTGCTAATGGATTCTCCCAAGATAAAAATATTGTTTTTTTTATAATATTGGAAAAAAAAAACACATGTGTCCTGAAAAAATGGCAAATTTACCTGTGACTAATATCTACATAAACATAATACAGGAAGTACTGTAGACGAGGGAGCTTGAGGAACAGAGGGCCTTGGAATAAACCTGTGAACTCATAAGCCTCAACTTTAAAGACACTAAAGCCATATATAGGGAGACCAGAAAGCTCAGAAAATGTGTGAAAACCCTTCTGACATGTTCACCTTTTACCAAACTGTAAACTGAAAGTGTAATTGTAATGCATTGATCCAGAGGTTTCAAATATTTTTTTTTTTTTACAAATGACCTCTAAATGGATGGTGCACATTTGTAGTGAAGCTTCATGAGTCAGTTTATTAACTTTCTAGATCACATTTAACAAAATGTTTTGGCATTGCACATCTGCAAACTGAAATGTTCCATTATCCTCCTTTGCAAAAAACCCCAAGCGCTAAAGGACTTGGTGAAAAGCCTCCCAAAAAATCAGTTCCAACTCCCTACTAATTCTAAATCTGATTTAAGTTTGTCTTTTCCATTTTAACAAATGGATATTCCTTGATGTACACTAGTTTTTACAAACCCTGGTCCTCAGGACACGCTGTCCAAGTTTTACTGTAGATGTGTCTCTGCTCCTGCACACCTGATGTAATGATCGCATAGTTTTTAGAAGCCACCAAGTGTTGCAGAAGCTTCAATAAGCCAATCATTCAAGCAAGGTGTGTGGCAGCATAGAAAAATACTTTTTCCCAGGATTGCCCCAAATATAGCTCCAACCATTTTTTTATACTCAGTGCTGCCACCTCCCTTTCCTATGGGGTGTTGTTTGGGGACGCCTTCTCCCACATGTCTTGCAGCGTCCCATACACATCTTTAGGAACCTGCTAAAAAGATCTTCTAATTGATTTCTTTTCGTTCCTCTTTTTTTGGCACCCAATATTGCCAGACCTGTGTATTAAGCTGACTGGTCTGAATGCAGCATAATAGTCGTTAACGCAGGAGCTTTTGATGCCAGCGGCTCCTCAAGAGATATTGTGGCACTTTTAGAGGCTTTTCAGTTTAATGCCTGAACAGTCTGCTGTTTCCCTATTCACTAATGGTTTCTAGCACATCACAGTCTTTGATATCAAATTACTAGTAGTTTGACTGTTTAGCGATTAGTTGACTATAAAAGGTGGATTTGCTTTTGAATGTCTTTTTTAAGCTATTAGAATGATCATTACTGTTGCCTTTTTACACCAGTTGGTCACTGCTTCCAATTTGACTCTGATAGACACAAAATTAACCACAATCAGTAAAAAGCATCTGCTGAAATGGAACCCCGCAGAATGATTCAGCATACACCATGGCTGATGGTAACAATTGCATATTCAAAGGTATGGTGCACACATTGCGTTCTGCATGTGAAAAAACAAAAAGCAAAACTACTAAATTTAATGGTGGACTTTATTTCAGTAAAGGGACGTGTGGCTTAAGTTTTGAATTGCATTGAATTCTATTAGCCAGGCCTTTTCCAGCCAGTCTATCACTGAGTTTTCCTTGCTAGTTTCCCCAAAAAATCTTAGTAGAATACATTTATGTTTGTGACTGTAAAGGAACAAAGGGCTCAAGAAGCACGTCTGTAAGGAACTGTTTGTAATAAAAGTAACAAAATAACTTCAGATTTTAGGGACAAACTTTTCGAGATATGATCCCCACCATGTCTTGTTTAAGATGTTAGAATATAGGCAGTACCTTTCTTCTTCTTTTGTCATCATCCATGTTTGTCTGTTTGTGTTTGTACATGTCCTAAAAATATCAGCCAAAAAGGTTTCAATAAGAGCCTGATGTTAACCCAAATCGCTGCGATTTTTACTCCTTTGCATAATTTTCCACAAGCAGAGCTTCTTCTAGCTGTGCCGGAAGTTCTTTGTCTAAAATTCCGTCGAAGCTTAAAAAAATCTTATCGCAGCTCATCCTTCTGTCTCTCTTTGCTGAAACCACAGGAAATGGGCAAAGATTTAGCAACCCTTGCCAGCCAATCATTGCAGACTTGCGTTCGATGTCTGCCGAGTTAAAGAACTGTAGAATTAAACCCAACGGTGAACTCAGACAAACCCAATGACCTTTAACATCTCTGGCTTTACTGCAACACAGTCAAATAAACTGAATATCTCTATAAAGTCAAGCCACAGAGATGAGGTTCTCCAGCCGCTATGGCTCCCTGTCATGACTGTGTATGAAAAAGCTTTCCGAGAATAAAGGCGTTGAGATGTGTAGTGACAAGTTGTCAATCAGACCGCAGGAGCAGAGCTGAGGATGGAAAATAGGGGCACTGGTGTTAAGTGTGGGAGGCTTGCTGAGTTGGTGACAGCTGAAGATGAAGCCAGCAGAAGCCACAGAGCTTTTTCTGACTCAATCTGCATCTGCAATGAATCACCAGGGCCATAATAGAGGAACTACTGTAACAAAAAAAAGCTGCAATGGGTAGTTAGAAAATAAAGAAAATCGTCCATTTTAAATAAACAAATGAGCGGTTTTAAAAGATCTGTGTTTCTTTTTTTTTTTTTAGGTTGACCGCAGAACTCTGCACTACCCTGAGCAAACATCCTCTCTTTAAAACAAATGTATAAAAGATGAAAAAAGTATGATAAATGTTTGTTTTTAACAAGGTAGTAAAGTTTGACTTTGATTACATCAGCCATGCTCTGTTTTAACTTTCCAAAAGCAAAGGTCATAATTAGAACCTCACCTTCTTCTTCTGAGTCTGCTCCTTCTCCGAGGCGTTTGATGGTCTTCGCCTCAGCATCTTCTTCCTCTTCTTCTTCTGTGATCCACTTAACTCTCCAGACAAGACACCTGTTAGAGGACTTCAGGGTGTTTAGTGACTTAAGGATATCTGTCCCTACGGTGTCACAAGCCGGAGCTGGAGAGAAAGAAAAGAGGGCTGAGGTGCACTCTGCTGCAGAAGAGTGAAGTGCACGTCAGGAAGTCACATGGGTGCATTGAAACCAAAAAGGCAAACCCTCCTTCTGCTGCTCAGGACCACAAAAGGGCTACTGGGTTGATTACATGCATTAGTCAGGATTGCATGCATAGAGCTTCCTTAAAAAACTGTACTTACACGCTTTACAGTTTGTAGATGTAACTACGAGTGTAACTCCAGCTTATAAGAGAACGTTTAAAGGGTAACTTGCTTAAAATTAACAATTTTAGTCAAATAAAAGCTCTATGACTTTGTTTGGCTGGTGATATATTACTCAATGTATTCCTACAAGTCAGACCAAACAGCAATCTTAGGCTTACAGTTTTATAGTCAGGATTTCGAAATATATTCATAGTGAGCACATGTGAAGTGTGGAAGTGAAAGACACTCAAAGATGACAGGTTTGGAAACTGCAACGGCTGTGCAGCTGCAAACCACTGTGGCTCCGAGTTACCACTCCAAAAGGCCAATCCTAGAGGGAAATGTTCATGCATCTAATAATTTGCAAGATATATTTGCTGGAAAGTAAGTCACAAGATAAGATACTCAAAACTTCCATAATAGACATACTTTGGACAAGAATACTTGGTGACTCAAAAGAACGTGTGCACCTTTTTTGATAGTCAGTCAGTCTGCAGGACGAAGAGGCAAAAATACGTTCTGACAGTGAGTGCAGAGAGGGAAGTTCAGTGCAAGGCAGCATAAGCTTGTTATTTTGGTGGTGTAAAAACCGCATGATAAGAGGATGCCCTGTTTAAGTTTCCTGTCACTTGACTGCAGGTTGGCAGCAAACTCGTATGTCTTTATGATCACAAAGGTGTGAAAAACAACCAACAGCAGCTGTTAGACACATTTCTCATAAAAATACAAAAAAAATTGTTTAAAGTAAAAGCTCCTTAGTAAAATATTAGATGTTTTAGTTATACAAAAAAATGACTTGATGTACAAAATGTAAAAGTGTATTACATTATGTAAAAATGTGTCGGTATTACATAAACATCTTACAGTAAAGATTCAATGGAAGATAATCTAACTCCTCCTAGTTTTGTTGGTGTATTGGCACATGTTCAGGTTCATATCTGCAACTAAAAGTCTGCGACAAGAGTGTCGTTTCAGAGACCACAGCAATAATAGAAATAGAACAGTCAGATGAGAAATGAAAAAAATAGAAATGCATGTTTGGCCGCTAGTTGTGCTGCTGAACAATATTTCTTACTATGTAATTTCTCTGTTTTTTTTTTTACTTCAAGTAAACATTGATACAGTAAAAACTAAACAAACAAACAAAAAAAAAAAAACACTTACTACTTACTTACAACCAAATTAATTTTCTCTCTCGTTTCTGCTTTCCCTCAATCAGGACTCTTGGACTCCCAAGATGGCTGAATATCAGTTTATCTTTTATAATATAACTTTCTTAAAACTTTCCTTTTAAAACGTCCATGAACGTACATCCTACTTACTATCTCACTGTTAAAAACTGATCAGCCTTTTCCTTTTAATGAACCAGTATTTCCAGTATCACCTTTATTAATAGTTAGGGTGGGTCAGGTTATCATCAGCACACTTTTTAGATATGCTGTCATAGGCTTAGGCTGCTGGAGGACATAGTGACCTCTTTTCTTCCTGCCTCATTATACCTCTACTCCCCAACTTTGCATCATTAGTTATGCTTTTAACTTCATGTTCTATATGCTTTTTCACGTCATAGTAAGTACATCTGGCAAGTTACTCAGTTTAGCTGTAACACCATCACGGAAAGAGGCATCACATGGGTTGCTCCAGTCAACAATTTCAGTTATCCATAAGTGAAATTGTTGACTGGAGCAACAATTTCACTTATTGATAATAGTTTGGCCTGTTTTTTAGTGTTTAATACTTTTTCTCTCCTAGATATACTGTAGCTATGAGCTTAGCTTTTACTGTGACTATAGCCTGGTTTATGCTTGACACATGGACAGCTCCGGCCCTCTCTTCACCCAAGTGGCCAAAGGTCAGAAGATATGACTCCAAAAGTTGATCTTTGAACTCTGGCTTAGGGTGTTAAGGTGCACTACAGACATCCTTATACTCAAACATGGACTTCATTATGGACAATCCGTGACTTACATATAGGTCCAATAATGAAACACCAATCAGGTTCTGAGTTGAGGGTCTGTTCCTCCAGATCACATCCCTCCAGGCGTCATTATAGTTTCTGACATGGGTGTTAAAGACTCCCAGGGAAATAATGGAATTCCCAGGAGAGGGCGCTATCCAACACCCCCCCAGGGGTGCTAAGAAGGCCTGGTACTCTGTACTGCTGTTCAGCCCATAGGTCGAAACAACAGTCAGAGATCTCCCCCCTACCAGAAGGCGATGGGATGTGACTTTCTCATCCACTGGGGTAAACTCCAACAGAGTACGGCATAGAAGCCTGAGGAGATTGAGGGAACTGAAGGGACAAACTGAAAGTTTGTCAGTTACTATGCTTGGAGGAATAAAACGATTCATGCAGGGCAGTGGTATCATTAAGTTGTGCCATAATAAGAGAGGATACAGTAAGGAACAAGGACTACTTTCAAATCCCTAACTACAATGTCAAATCAGTTTTCAAATGGTTAAAAGATGGATACTGTGAGTTTGCTAACAGATCAGTTCTCCCAACCCACACTTCTGGTTCTCCATAGTTAATACAGTTGTTGCAAAAACAATATCTACACATAAATCCGAATAAAATAAGAGAAAGTACACAAATTATACACTCTATCCTACATAGAATGTATAAAAGTGAAAAGGTTTGCTGTATTGCACATGACAATATCAGAATCCATACCCTGAATGTTAATCTTTAAATTCACTTGTATGCTGCCATCTCCTGCTTCTCACTTTAAAGGTTTATGCATAATGGCAGAAAAACAGATACATATGCACTGCAATGGGCCTTTGCTTGAACACCTTAATACTGTGATCTAGGACCAGTTTATCATTTAACACTGTTAAAGGTGGAAGTTATGTCTCCTTGAAGGTAGTTGCGCCTCGGGACTTCCTTCCGGTTCTTTTCCTGGGAGCAAGTTACTTACTACTCTTAACTCAAATTGGGTAAAACCATGTAAAAAGGACTATAAAAACAGGAGTGAAAAAGTAACAGAGTTTATTCCAGATCAGGTCGTTACAGGATAGAGAAAATGCTTGGAGCTTGCACAGCTGTGGTCTCAAAAATCACGTCCGCGAGCGTCCGGCAAAGATTGAGCCCCGGACAAGGTACTGTAATCTTCTCCTTCTTATAGCTCATGAGTCTATGTGTTGGATCATGTGGATGTTTAGCTGTCCGTATCAGAAACTGACATGCAATCCATGCCCTGAACTGTATGCATCTTGCCTCCATGTCCAAGATTACAGATACATCTCCTCTATCAGTCCGGCTCCAAGATGTGCCCATATCCTGTGTATCTTTAAAAGACAAGAAGGCTGTCCTATTTAGATGACCTCAGTACACACAGTGACATCCACAATGTGAAGGAAGGCCTTCTACTCTCTCTATCTGGCTAACAAAGTAACAATGAACATGATGTATAAAAGAATAAACCTAACAACGCTCCTCTATTTTCCTCATAGAGCTCTGTGGACTGTGTGCTGCTCCTCTGGTTTTCTCAATTTTTTTCTCCATTTTATGGTTGTTTTCCAAACAGCCTTAAAGAAGCTGGCAGTCTCAGTGCAATACTGGTGAGTCCACATGAACTTAAGATATATAATCTGGTAAAGTCACAAATATGGCGAGTAATATAACAATATAACAAGTTGGATGCTCTCTGATAATTGAATTTAGCTAAATTTCAGCATTATGAGAATAATTACCAAATACATGACTGAATGCTATAATCTATTGTTTTCTACAGCTGTAAGAAGACAACGTCACACCTAACAATGTGGTCAACCACATCTAACTGATAAGAAATTCTGTCAAGTCTTTGCTCAGAGTTGCTCTCAGAAACTAGCTGAATCACTCTTAAGCTTCAACTCCTTGGCAGGAATTTAAAGGTTAACATAGGAACTCTCTGAGAGAATCGTAATGAATACAAGCACAGGTCCAAGACTCAAGTCTTAACAGCTTTTATCTGATGTGATAAGGCCTAAAAGGAAGCCTTTATGTAAGCAACAGACTGAAATGTAAGGGTATGATTTACTCTGAAAGGATCAAGTTGATATTAGACAGTGACATCATCTTATCTTGGAATATTTAAAGTTCATACAAAATCTGCTAATATTATCTGTGGCTTAATGACCACACAAATGTCTCATTTGAAATAAACCTGACACAATTTCTAATAAAGTTTTATATATAAAGCGAAACATTATGGCAAAACCCACAATGCTCTGTTGAGAAAGTAACTCTGTTTGGCCATACCTTGACACTCGGATGGCAGTTCTGATGCCATAGTGTTGTACACGACATGTTATATAAGATAACATCCACAGGATGTCTAAGTGGTCCAGAAGGACCATATTCATTTTTACTGATGAAAAATATATGTATATAAATTTAAATATAGTATGTAAATAATCTTTTTTATAATTTGCCCAAAACTTTATATCTTTGTCTGATATTTTTGTTATATGAAGTCAGTGTAATGTCCAGTTATTTAGTAGATAATAAATCCTTTTTAAAAAACAAACTCTTACTCTTTCAAACCTACTGGAGTAGGAGTATTATTAGAAACCTGCTGAATTATGCCTTAGAAAACATCAACTAACAATGGAAATATTGAATGTTAATTTAGTAACTGTTGTTGCTTAATGATTAAATATTTGCTAAGAGTCAGGAAATTAAAACAAAAACAGAACCCATTTAGTGCATTTGATGATGATGAAGGTGCTGGGTTTGATTCCTGGTGCGATGTCTTTCTGCATGGAGTTTGCATGTTCTCCACAGGCATGTATGGGTTCTCTCCGAGTACTCTAACTTCCTCCAGAGGTCCAATACCATGACTGCTAGGTTAGTTGCTGTCTCTTAATTGTCCTTAGGTGTGTGCATGGTTGTGTGTCTCGGTGTTGCCCTGCGACGGACTGGCGACCGGTTGTTTCACCCATAAAGTGCTGTAGGTAAGCACCAGACCCACCACGACCCTGTTGGATAAGGGGAAGAAGATGGATGGATAATAACTGAACAAACAATAGACTATTTTGTGTGGGATTGAAACGTATATTTAGTAAAGATCTCAAAAACAATGACTGTAACTGAAACACCGGGATGCCTCCATATTTTGCTTTAAATAAGCTTTGCTTCTGCACAGATGACACATGTTAAATGGACAAAGCATGTTTTATGGCTGCAGGTTGATGCATTACATAACACTATCAGAAAATGCTTTTTAGAAAGCTTTTTAGATGCTTTTTTAGGAAGACAAGATGCTAAATGTTACTCTTTTCCATTTACAAAAAAAAAAAGCTAAATAAGAGAATGCAGAAGAGTTGTCTTCCTTGAGCCATCCATGTCAGTTTTAATGATTTTTAGTAATAACAGTAGGGTTACATTTACAGCTTTTTGATGGTGGAGGAGTTTCAGAAAATGAAGTACACAGCTGCTGCATGATAGTTGATAAAGTAATGACTGGTAACAAAAAAAATCTCTAACCCATAAATAACATCATTGATACTGAAAATAAGATATGAAAGAGAACAATTTATCAGTTTCTTAAAACATAGCAAAACAAAATCCTGGGCACGATGTGAGCAACTGAAAAAGGGAGATTCTGAGACTTTTAAAGGAAATGAGATTAGAGTTTGGGGAAAAGGAACTTGTTTGCTTTTCTCATAAAGAGTTTGGGTGGAGTACTGTAACTTACAGTGACTCGTCATATAAGCTTCTTAATGAGACTTGATAGCATTTCTGATTATGTTAAAAGAGACAAAGAGAGCTTATTCAAAGCTAAAGCTAATATAGAAAGATAAGGGGCAAAGTAATGGCAACCTGTTTTGAAAACTGAGTACATCTCCTTTTACCAAAAGAAAAGCACTGAGTCTTCTTCTATACATTTGATAAGATTTGATTTTAAAGAGAGGAACAGAATCTCTAAAACACACATTTTTCTCTACGGCTCAACCAGAGGTTGTTTAAAAGATTTAGACCTTGTTACTAAGATCTCAATAAAAAAGTGTTGTGTGGCAGCTGGAAACCCTTCTAATTGTTGATGCGTTTGTTTCAAATGATCTTCAGTATTCCTATGAAGCCCAGCAGATTTTTTTATTTTAAAGGTCCATTCATTTCAAAGAGTTCATGGCATCATAGATCTTTTTCCATGCTTCACAATAGGTAGAAGATGCTTTTCTACACACTTAACTATTAATAATTGAACTTTATTTATCTCACATTGGAGGAGCAGTGTAGGGAGCAGTGTGGGGTTAAGGGTCTTGCTCAGAGACCTAGAGTGGCAGTCTGTGGGAGTGGAACTCGAACTCAAAACTTCAGGATTCCAAGCTCTATGCGCTAACCACTAGGCCGCCACTCCCCTGATTCTAAAAATCAGTCCAGAATCCATCCATCCATCCATCCATCCATCCATCCATCCATCCATCCATCCATCCATCCATCCATCCATCCATCCATCCATCCATCATCATACACATCTTTTTTTTTTCCAAAGTTACCACTGTATAAAATAAAGCATCCATTTTAAAACTCCATAGGTTATTGTTACAGGTTATTAAATCAAAAATATTCCTTTACATATTGGAAAACACAAAAAGTCACATATTTACTCACACATTTCAAATTGTTTATTACATCTTACAATTATAAATTAAAAAATTATAAATTTCTGTGCATCTGTTGACCCAGTGTACCTGCTCAGTAGAGGCTGCATAGGCTTAACTTTTCAGTGCAAGTCTGTTGAGATGGGTAATAGAGGATGCTCCTCAGATGATATTGTGCAGAGCAAAGACCAGAGCTATGAGTGTTAAGGAGGAGGAACAGACGGAGGCAGAGGATCCAGCTTCAGTGAAAGGCTCTGTGTTTCTGAGCATCCAATCCTTCTCCTCATGCAGCCCCTGCTTGTCCAGCTCAGGACCCACCAGCTGACGAATTGTCTCATAGTAATTATTCAGCCACTGAATCTGGAGACAAAAATACACTTGCATGTTAAAGTGCAGTTAACCTCAAAATGTTTCTCTTAAGATGTTTTTACAGAGAAAAAAAAAGTTAGATTGGTTATAAGTTATGATATTTCAGTTTTTTTTTTATAAACCCCCAACATTGTATGCAATTTCTTTTGTAAACTACTTCTATAGAAATGTGAACAGTCCATCAGCGTTAATTATAGTACAATTCCTTCGAATAAATATGCTACAAAAATATATATATCAACATGGCATACAATATTGCCTGTAACAGTTTTACATTTGATGTCAACAGAAAATAAATTTCCATTTCTAATACTAAGAGAACATGACAGTTCAGATCTGCAAAAAGCTTTGTTTAACAATTTCTAATCAGAGCATTGCATTTAGTTAATTTAAAACCTTTTTGATTCACCGATTTGAGGTATTCGGTTCAAGCTGGTATGTATAAAAGAAAATGCAATTAATTGTATTAAAACTATTAATTAATTTATGGAAATTAATTCCCCACTGTTTCTTTCTAAATCAAGTAAAAAACAAATCAAAGTTTAAACCCACATTTTCCACTGACAAAGGAGGATGAATAACGGACACAGTCATCTTGCCTGTAAATGTAGTTGTGTCTGATGCCTTTTATATATATTAAAGCAGGTGATTGTCCATATATACAGTGCTCTGGGAAAGTATTCTGCCCCCTTGAACTTTTGGACCTTTTGCCACATTTCAAGCTTAAAATATAAAGCTGTGCAGTTGCAATTTTTTGTGAAGAATTAATAAGTGGGACACAATCATAAAGGGAATAAAATGTATTTGATATTCAAAATATCTAAAACTTTTCCTAAGAAATAGAAAGCTGAAAGAATGGGTATGCAAAATTATTCAGCCCCCTTGAGTTAAAACTTTGTGTTGTCACCTTTTGCTTACAGCTGTAGGTCCCTTGGGATATGTCTCTATCAGTTTTGCACATCGAGAGACTAAAACTTTTGCCCATTCTTCTTGCAAAACAGCTTGAACTCAGTGCAGTTGGATGGAGAGCATTTGTGAACAGCAGTTTTCAGGTCTTTCCTCAGATTCTCAATTCGATTCAGGTCTGGACTTTGACTTGGCCATTCTAACACCTGGATAAGTTTATATGGGAACCATTCCATTGTAGATTTTGCTTTCTGTTTTAGATAATCTGGATTCTAATCCCAATTAGAATGCAAGAAAGATGCTAACATCTGCTGCTGGTTTGAGATATACAAATGAAGAAAAAAATCAAACATGAAAATGAAAAAAGAATTACACTGAACCAAGTTCTCACAGGAAAATGCTATTTTTGATCATTCTACATATTGATGAGAGTATCTCGGCATGCACAATGTGCATATATGCATACTTTGAGTAACAATAAACCTGATGTCACAACTGCAGCTATAGCTGCAGTTGTGACAGGGAAAATTTAGAATATTTATATTCTATTCTATGCTGTTGTATTCTATTCTAACACCTCAACAATACTTTCACGTGAGATTTTTCCAAGGAAAACAACCTTCATAAGGGCAGGTAATGATACTAAAATAATAGCTACAGAAACAACACTCTGTCTATATAAACCACAAAATAGATCTGTATATATATATATATATATA